TTTAAAATCACAAAATATTCTCTTCCCCTCTTTTTCTCATCAGCCACTCAATGCATGGAGGAAAGAGTTTTTATATTGCTTCTGTCTTCATGAAGGGATTTAATGCCCTTGTCAAGGAAAGAGCAAAACACATCTAACCAATTCAATAGATATGCTTATGGGCAAATTATTTGGAGTCACACTTATACTCATGAAGATCTGGTCTGTTGGATGAATGCAAACAGATGTCACAGGTGAACTTGAACAACATGCTGTGTCCAGCAATCTCAGATCCCTTCCGGGGTCCATACTACCGAATGGCTGCCATGTGCCATCAGAGTCTCTTCATTCCACTCTTCAATCGCTCTTACTGCCTCCTCTCCAAGTTCTTCTTGACCTCATGTTCCCTGACCAAGGTCAAGGAGACTCTGTCTCAGGATCTCAGCCTCTCAGAGGCTGGACAACCTGAAGTCAGCGTCAGGGATCGTCTCACCATGGATGACATCTTGGCTGAACAGGAGGTCCTGCCATTTTCCATGCTTGGCAATTAACAAGTCACTTTATTGTTGTATAACATGTGATATTTAAACAACATTGCAATATCATCAAATCTCACAATCAAAACCTTAGGGATTTTATTCTTTAATATTTTTATTATCATATTCAGTTTATGTCTTCATTTATTTACATAGCCTGTTGCCTGTAGAGACCATTATGCAACTCTATTTCTCTGCCATAAGCATGTATGTAAGGTGTTAATTTCCCAAAGAAACAATCAACTAATGCAGCACATTGTGTTGTGGTCAGGCAAGGCATCATATCTGTTTCCCTGGACATGGATGTTTCATAATGGTTGTCCTACAGATCTACACATTAGAGGAGATTGTACAATGAACCTTGCATACTACAGGAAATGAATTAAGTAAAGAAGTTTGAGGGAACAGGCATCGCATTGTACAGGGTGTCAAGAGGTTTGTGGTACCTGTTGTACCTGTAGACATGGACCCAATACTACCTGTTTTCTTAAACATGAAAGATAAGGCAATTCAATCTAGCTGATTCAGATTTATTGCAATATGAAGTGTACCTCCTCATTTAATTTCAGGATTAACCTTTTTGAACATACATTTTTTAAGGAAAATTTGAGAATACCTATAGGGTAATTTGGGGGAATGTGGCCCTGCAAAATCAAACCTTGTCATAACAGCCCATCAAGGTCAAGTGGACTTTTACAATGTTTCTAAAATACTGATTCATATCTCCTTTACTAAATCCCAGTAAGGCACATGCAAAAACTGCATGGATATTGTGCCTTTGGATCTTTTCCAAGTCTCTCCCAAGAGGCCATATTACCCAAGTTGTTGGAGGAATAGGGCCACTTCTCAAAAAACAACTCAAGGTTTTCCAGGTACATGTGAAATATGCTGGAACATGCTGAGTATCTTGAAACATAATAATGGAGGCTCAGCAGTTGAAAATAAAAACATTAACTGCATTGAAGACTAGCAAAGAAGTCAAAATCATTACCTGATGCAAGGACCCGTTGTGGAAAGCAGGATTGAAATGCTTTTGGCTTTGAGTAGCATTGCACATGATTAGGAGACTGTATCTAGAGACTGTGGGTCCAAGATGAGTGATCAATCATAACTTACAGTGAACATGCATTACAAGTGTAAAATGATAGATCTTACATTGCAGGAAAAACATTGTTTAGTTTTGTATGTATGCTTATATAGTGCCAAAAAATTATAGGATGCCCTTTCACCTTTGTGTACGAGGGATATTTACTTGCATGCAAATTTCATGCGTCGAAAACTTGTGGAGTGTCATGCAGATGTCCAGGAGGCGGTGCATGAGCATGTCCTCATGTTCTGCATATTTCGTCCAGATGTCGAGTACTTCTATCCATATATCCATAGAAAGTGCATTGGATGATCTTTTGCAGCCTGAGATCCCACATGAAAGGAAGCTGACAATACCAATAGGTAGTGCTAGTATGAAATGAAGGATGTGTCTGTATTACCCCAAATTGAGATGGCCATATTCCCCCATATTGGCTTAAAATGTTTTTAAGATTGTCATCAGAGAAGGAAAGTATGAAGTGATGCTAAATGGTATCACTGAGCAGTTTGTGAGATGCATCACACATTCTCCTCCAATGATACTACTTTTTCTGATGTTTTGATTGCCTTTCATACTGATTGAGATGACATCTACATTTTAAAAAAAGCAGCCTAGACCCAGAACTAGCCAAGGTCTATTGCACCTTACCCCATTTAGTATTGTAACTTACAGCTTATAATTTGAAATAATATGTCAAACTTAGCCTAATGTAACTTTTCCAATGTCACTAAACCGTAATTGGAGTTTTGAGCAATTTTAGGTGGAATATGATGGCATAGCCTGAAAAATTATGAACACAATAGAACAGTCAGGCATTGATATTGACATTTCACCAGTAATTCCAAATTGAATTACAGTTATTTCCAAATGAAAAACTATGAAACAAACCATATTTCACTGAATAGTCAACCTTTAAAGCCTGACCCTACACTTCAAAGTTAGAGGATTGCCTAGTCAGAATACTTGTTTATTTCTTTATCAGGAAATGCAACCAACCATCCATGTGAGAAGCAGCAATGTGTTGAGAAAATAGTCAACCTTTAAAGCCTGACCCTACACTTCAAAGTTAGAGGATTGCCTAGTCAGAATACTTGTTTATTTCTTTATCAGGAAATGCAACCAACCATCCATGTGAGAAGCAGCAATGTGTTGAGAGCTTAGTTGAAAATTATTTATGAAGATGGCAGGAGTTCTTAAAATTACTTGCATGGGTTCCAACATTGAAAAAACCATGCAATAAATTACTGGTACCTATGTGATTAGTTTAGCATGGAGAACAAGCTACTCTTGAAAGATCCTGATTTTCTAATGAAAGCAGATTACAAACCTTGCTTGAAATGTTAGCCAGCTTCCTATTTTCATTTACTTATCTGATTGAGTCTTCAAAGTTGACAAGTAAGTATGAGCAAAACAATTTCTATTTTTGGCTTGTTGGCCTTTTGTCATTGTCATATTTGTCATGAAACTAATTTTTTTGTACTAACTTTCAATTCAGGTCTTTAGGGGTCTTAGCATAAACTGCCTTGTGACATCTACACAGTCAATTGAAGTGTAAATTTTGTTTTTTGGGTATTTGAAGAATTATTCTGTTGCCTGTTGTTAAAATGTGTCAAATGGAGCTCAACTCCAAAAAGAAATGCTCTTAACCTTTTGAGGTTGACTATCAGACCTGGCCCAACAATGTCCAGTGTTGCAAGAAAAAGTGACTGCAAAAGGTTAACTTGCAATTCTGTAGAATTTTAAATAATACTTTGAAAGGAATTTCCTGTCATTCATTTGACGTGCAGTATATGTAAGAATGGTATTTTTTGTCTCCATTTGACTTATAGACCCATTTATCCTGCAGAAACCTTTTGCTTTCATCATTTGCTGTATCTAATATAGTTTTTTGTTGACTGACAAGGATGCTAATTGAAAGAGATGCTTTTGAACTTCATCCATTAACTCTCAGTATCATCAAGACTTGATTCTTATCCCAGTTTACCCGCACTAACCATTTTTATGCATAAGAAGCTCTGCTCTCTTGCAATCAGGTAAGTGTCTTCAATGTTTAATATGGTTTCCTCACTGTCCACTCATCCATATAATCATAATCATTTGCAGTTATCTGTTTTCTGTTATGAAGATCAGAATATCACATGACTTATGTACAAGTGCCAAGTGACTAAGCCTATCTCTGTTTAGAGGCTTGGCAAGCAGTTATTAACTTGCATAGTTAGTTTTTTCTGTTTAAAAAATGTAAACCTCTATTAAACAGGGTATGGCACTATTAAACAGGGTATGGCACTTTACCACTAATAATTATTTTATATTTGGCTGCATTGATTTGGCAATACTGATTTTAATATACTGGGTGCAGAAGTGAGTTTACTAACTTGCAGTTTCATAGAAATTCATTTTCTACAGCATATTAAAATCAGTGCTGCCAAATATAAAAATAATTATTCTCTATAAAGCTACTTTTGCTGCACCCTGTACTTTGGGAAATTCCTTCATGATGAACTCTTTCCAGACCTATAACTGCATTACTTCAAAGAGTATGAAATTTGTTTTCCTGGATCTATTTATGCTGCCTATTCCCCATCCATTTATAAATTTATATTTAAAATACACATTGAAACCATTTTTTTGGGGCCATATATCTCCTCCTCTATCCCTCAACTTTTCAATTTAAATCCTTTCTCATCTTGCTATCTATTTTATAAGTAAGGAGTCAATTTTAATGCTGCACATTTCAGGTATGATGAAGTGGTATCCCATTATGCTTTTGCTGTTCACAAATTACACTAAGCCAAATGTCTAATTTATTGGGAGATGAGTCTGCAGATGAGGAAGTATGACACCCTGAAGTTTTTTCTTGGAGTGGGGTGGGTGGGTTAAAATGAAGGGAGTAACATTATCAATCCAAGAAATGTAGGAGAACTCACAGCTGACAAAAGCTCTTCACATTACACATGCAATATCAGTCCATGTGCTAGAGAGTGATAATAAAGACAAATTGCTAGGATGGCAGATATGTTGAGTGTGCCTTTCCCATTTTAGCAGTGGCTGCTTCAACAGAGTATGTCTTATGGCCTTCAGTTTTATGCATATGAAAGGTTGTGGACATAAGTTGCTCATTAACATGTTGAGAACTCCTGATTTGTCTGTGAAATCTTACATTTATATATTAGAAAGTGGGTTAGCATTTGTTCCGCAAGGCACTCATAGTCTTATTTATCATGTCACACACAGGTGAAGGATGAACCGATGAAGGTGGCAGCAGCAAATGGTCACAAGTATGAAGATTTTGCCAACACTCCACACAAGAAACTGTTGTGAAAGTTGAGCATGACTTCTGCTTGCTTCTTTTTTCTCTTGTAGTCTCATTACCTCCCCATTTTGCAAACCTGTATCTCCTGCAGCATGGAGTTAGCCCCAGTAGATTCCATGACCATAAGAGTAGNAATAGTCAACCTTTAAAGCCTGACCCTACACTTCAAAGTTAGAGGATTGCCTAGTCAGAATACTTGTTTATTTCTTTATCAGGAAATGCAACCAACCATCCATGTGAGAAGCAGCAATGTGTTGAGAACTTAGTTGAAAATTATATATGAAGATGGCAGGAGTTCTTAAAATTACTTGCATGGGTTCCAACATTAAAAAAACCATGCAATAAATTACTGGTACCTATGTGATCAGTTTAGCATGGAGAACAAACTACTCTTGAAAGATCCTGATTTTCTAATGAAAGCAGATTACAAACCTTGCTTGAAATGTTAGCCAGCTTCATATTTTCATTTACTTATCTGATTGAGTCTTCAAAGTTGACAAGTAAGTATGAGCAAAACAATTTCTATTTTTGACTTGTTGGCCTTTTGTCATTGTCATATTTCTCATGAACTAATTTTTTTGTACTAACTTTCAATTCAGATCTTTAGGGGTCTTAGCATAAACTGCCTTGTGACATCTACACAGTCAATTGAAGTGTACATTTTGTTTTTTGGGTATTTGAAGAATTATTCTGTTGCCTGTTGTTAAAATGTGTCAAATGGAGCTCAACTCCAAAAAGAAATGCTCTTAACCTTTTGAGGTTGACTATCAGGCCTGGCCCAACAATGTCCAGTGTTGCAAGAAAAAGTGACTGCAAAAGGTTAACTTGCAATTCTGTAGAATTTTAAATAATACTTTGAAAGGAATTTCCTGTCATTCATTTCACAACAAAAATGCATTCATATTATTAGGTTGAGGAAAAAGTTTGTGCGCCGTTTGCGACGTTGAAGGTGAAGGTACGGTGGCACCGTACTTTTACATGAGAAAATGTAAAATGTCCATTCAATTGATGTGCAGTATATGTAAGAATGGTATTTTTTGTCTCCATTTGACTTATAGACCCATTTATCCTGCAGAAACCTTTTGCTTTCATCATTTGCTTTACCTAATATAGTTTTTTGTTGACTGACAAGGATGCTAATTGAAAGAGATGCTTTTGAACTTCATCCATTAACTCTCAGTATCATCAAGACTTGATTCTTATCCCAGTTTACCTTCACTAACCATTTTTATGCATAAGAAGCTCTGCTCTCTTGCAATCAGGTAAATGTCTTCAATGTTTAATATGGTTTCCTCACTGTCCACTCATCCATATAATCATAATCATTTGCAGTTATCTGTTTTCTGTTATTGAAGATCAGAATATCACATGACTTATGCACAAGTGCCAAGTGACTAAGCCTATCTCTGTTTAGAGGCTTGGCAAGCAGTTATTAACTTGCATAGTTAGTTTTTTCTGTTTAAAAAATGTAAACCTCTATTAAACAGGGTATGGCATAAGTCACTTTACCACTAATAATTATTTTTATATTTGGCTGCATTGATTTGGCAATACTGATTTTAATATACTGGGTGCAGAAGTGAGTTTACTAACTTGCAGTTTCATAGAAATTCATTTTCTACAGCATATTAAAATCAGTGCTGCCAAATATAAAAATAATTATTCTCTGTAAAGCGACTTTTGCTGCACCCTGTACTTTGGGAAATTCCTTCATGATGAACTCTTTCCTGGATCTATTTATGCTGCCTATTCCCCATCCATTTATAAATTTATATTTAAAATACACATTGAAGCCATTTTTTTGGGGCCATATATCTCCTCCTCTATCCCTCAACTTTCCAATTTAAATCCTTTCTCATCTTGCTATCTATTTTATAAGTAAGGAGTCAATTTTGATGCTGCACATTTCAGGTATGATGAAGTGGTATCCCATTATGCTTTTGCTGTTCACTAATTACACTAAGCCAAATGTATAATTTATTGGGAGATGAGTCTGCAGATGAGGAAGCATGACACCCTGAAGTTTTTTCTTGGAGTGGGGTGGGTGGGTTAAAATGAAGGGAGTAACATTATCAATCCAAGAAATGTAGGAGAACTCACTGCTGACAAAAGCTCTTCACATTACACATGCAATATGTTTATGTGCTAGAGAGTGATAATAAAGACAAATTGCAAGGATGGCAGATATGTCGAGTGTGACTTTCCCATTTTAGCAGTGGCTGCTTCAGCAGAGTATGTCTTATGGCCTTCAGTTTTATGCATATGAAAGGTTGTGGACATAAGTTGCTCATTAACATGTTGAGAACTCCTGATTTGTCTGTGAAATCTTACATTTATATATTAGAAAGTGGGTTAGCATTTGTTCCGCAAGGCACTCATAGTCTTATTTATCATGTCACACACAGGTGAAGGATGAACCGATGAAGGTGGCAGCAGCAAATGGTCACAAGTATGAAGATTTTGCCAACACTCCACACAAGAAACTGTTGTGAAAGTTGAGCATGACTTCTGCTTGCTTCTTTTTTCTCTTGTAGTCTCATTACCTCCCCATTTTGCAAACCTGTATCTCCTGCAGCATGGAGTTAGCCCCAGTAGATTCCATGACCATAAGAGTAGGAGGATGAAGACTACTCAACAGCATACTTGGGGGACCCATATTCCGCCTAGGGAGCATATCTTGATGCATTCCAGATCATAGCTCTAATGATCTCATTGGTCAGAGTCCAGAGATTTTACCTTCTTAAGCAACTTGGCCATTTCTAGTCAGCACAAGAAAAAAATGAGTCATATGAATGTCGATACTTGTCCATTTTTATTGGTGAACTGTGCCATTTAAGAGTTTGTATTTGTGCATGATGAGGTTCTTGAAGGCAATGGCTGAGCCATGTCTTGGACTCATCTGTAACTGCTTCCACTCCAAGATCTTAGGCATAATTGAGATGTGATCTTTCCATGTCCAACAGACCTTTGAAAGTTTGCAAAAATCATGGTACGTCATGGAGCAGAATGTTCAATGGTTTTACCTGATTCTGTTGCAATTAATTGAAAGAAAAAAGGTGGGACTTGTTAGTGGAATGTCAAATGCATTTTAAAGGAATGCAAGTATGTCACTTGCATGTGCATTACTTGTCATGGTGATTGGAGTGGTTAACAGTTTGCTAAATCCTTTTTCCCATCCAATTATGCTCCTGAAGGATGTCTTATGAGAGCATGGTGAAATTAACCAAGGGAAGAATCCATGTCCCTGTGTCTTTAGTATGCATTCATTACTTGGACTCATAATAAATTGATATTCATTTTTGGTGTTAGGGTCTTCTAAAGATGGAGGTGGGAGAAGGAAGAAGATATCCCTGCAGTGATAAATACCCACTCATCATAAACTTATCATAGTTATTATAAGTCTTAATATATATGCTATGCTATAAAATTTAGATTTATTTATGGGAGAAGTGTTGCTATCTCTAGTCCAGTGATATGTTGTCATGTTACCATTAATAAAGTCACACTTGGTCAAAGGCCTTTCTTCTTGTTGGATTCTGGTATTGGGCTTTTATGCAGCCTGCAGAAGCAAAGGAGAACTGGCAATCCTAGCAGCCATGCACCTTCATTTCATTACAAGATCAAGTTACAGTATCTTTCTCTGCCAAGTGCTGTAGAGTTTAAGGGCAGTATGTATAACTTTTGACTAAAGCAATGACTTTGGGTTGGTACTGGGATGCATTCTTTCCAATGAATATCAATATTATACTGATGTTAACTTGAATTCATCCGGACCCATGTATCCCTTTGTTTCCTTCTTCAACCGGTTTCAGGGACATATTTCTGATATCATGGGCAAATTCAGGGGCTCCATAAGGTGTCAAACAATCCAATCTCAGATGAGGCTCTAAGAAGAGCCTCACCAAGCTCATCTCTAAGGCCTGATATACATTCTTCAACTGAGAATATTGTTCCATGAACTCTCAATTTTTCCGCCTTATGTCCAGAGTTGTGTAGAAGACACAGACGACCATGAACCATATGCACAGGCTTCAACTAATTTGCTGCTAACTCCAGTACAATACCATAGTGCATTTTGGAAAGTGCGTGGTGGCATCTTATCAAAAATAAGGGTCATGTCAGTTGAGGTCTTTGCTTTTCCTGTTTTTCATTTGTAAATTTGACCTCTGGAAGTTTTATTTAGAATTGGTTTGTCGTTTTATATCATTGTGTGACTGGATCCACAGAACAAGAAGTTCTCAGTGCCTCTAGGGCATTGGATCGCTATCTCTTGACTTTTATTGAGACTCCCTCTCGCCATGTCATAAGCTCCTACTGTTATTTCTCGGGTCTGTTTATGCTTTTGAGTAGATGTAATTGGAAGTATGGTCGAGAATGCCACTTCCCGAATTCCTGAGTTCCCTGTCGGACAACCCATACTTCGGCGCTGGATTCGGCCTGTTCGGCCTCGGTGCCAGTGCCGCACTCCTCCGCAAAGTGGCACAATTCGGAATGATCGCGTTCCGACGGCATTACATGATGACCTTGGAAGTGCCTTGTCGAGACAAGAGCTACCAGTGGCTTCTCCAGTGGATCACGGTGCGAGGAGCCCAAAAGACTCAGCATCTCAGCGTCGAGACCAGTTTCCAACAGATGGAGACCGGAAAAGTGCAGACTCGATACGACTTCATCCCGGGGGTTGGAACGCACTTCTTCCGTTTCCGAGACACGTGGATCCGCGTGGAGCGGACACGAGAACAGCACACTCTGGATCTCCACATGGGAACGCCTTGGGAAAGCGTCACACTCACTGCGCTCGGCCGAAACAAGAACCTCTACTTCCAGATTCTCGAAGAAGGTCCGTGCGAGATGATGATCAGATGGAAGGTTTACTGGAAGGCCTGTGACTGAAGTTATGCAGATGTCTACCGACAGCTCGAGCAGAGGCGTTGAGGGAGCGCGAAGGGAAGACCCTCATGTTCACGGCCGCGGGTTCCGAATGGAGGCAGTTTGGACACCCTAGGAAGAGACGACCGTTAGCGTCGGTGGTCTTGGATAGAGGCATTACCACCCGCATCTTTCAAGATGTCCTTGAATTTCTCGATAACCCTTCCTGGTACACGACACGTGGTGAGTTCATTTCTTATCGGAGCCTCTTTTAAAAGAAGTGGCTTATGAACTGGAATTTTTTATGCTGGTCTGCTGCTTACAATTTTTTGCTTTGCATTGAGGGGAATTAGTTCGTCCATATTGGAGATTGCAGTACTCCTGAATACATTTCTTACTCTTAGTGATTAGGTCAATCTTCGGAAGTAACCGCGTATCATTGGAATGGTAATGATTTTTTTGTGACTTTCATGTCCTGCTCAGCCATGTCTCGACGGATTTAAAGAAGAAATGCTCTCCGACATTTCCAATTTACTTCTCCCTCCCTCCGTCTACAAATTGTGGATGCTGTGCTTACTTCTCTCAGCGAAATGTGAGATTGGTTATGAAAGTCTTCATGTTGGAAGTGTTTCCCGTCTGATGGACAGGGATCCCATATCGAAGAGGATATCTGCTTTTCGGCCCCCCCGGGTGTGGGAAATCCAGTTTCATCACGGCCTTGGCGGGGGAACTGGAGTATGGAATTTGTGTATTAAATCTGAGCGAACGGGGGCTCACGGACGACCGACTCAATCATCTCCTGAACGTTGCTCCTCAGCAGACCATCCTCCTCCTCGAGGATGTGGATGCCGCCTTTATCTCCCGACACGAATCCCCAAACAGTGAGGCATCCAGAAAGTCGCCGTTATGTCTATCCTTGTCCTTGCGTGAACTGAACCCGAACAGCACAGTATGTTGGGCAAATATTGGTTCTACGTTAAACAAATATTGGAATATTCGCTAAATGTTTCGATATTGGTCCAATATACTGTGTAACTGGCGGACGATGGCCTTTGAAGGGTCATGCTTTCGCACTTAATTTGTCTTGCATTTTCAATCATCTTCAAGAACCATTTCAAGCACGAAAAGGTCAGGTCAGGATGAGAATTGAATTGCCAGCGGTAGCTCACCGTTATATAGCGAGGTGCTGATCTGTGGTGCAGGACCCTTCACTCGACCCACCCTGCTACTCTTTGGGGTACCCTTGACTCGACCTTAAGGCTTAACTTAACTTAACGACCGGAACATTCTCGCGAGGCATATTTCACAGGACGCTTCATGGAACTTGGAACACAACGAATTGAACGAGTTGAAGCATGCTTCACGAGTGTGGCTGTGTTCCATCCCATGAAGCGTGTATACCATTACAAGCATGATGTGTGATGTTCACTTCATCAGAATGTTACACCAATGTGCGGCTGGCCTATGGTATGTCACTTCCATCACTTCCCGGCTGCTTTCTAAGCGGGAAATTTATTTGGGACGGAAGCAAAGAATGCTATCGTCCGGGATTCTGTTATTTGAATTCGGAATCGTAGTGATAGAGCCAGGTTTAATCTTGAGTCAGTATTCCCCAAACGGTGTGCCGCGAGGTTTCTGGTTTGGAAGGAGGAAAAATAGCAAAATGTTATTTGAAGATTTTTAAAACATTTAAACCACCCTGTAGGCCAACAGCATGTGGTTTACTCAATATTAATTTTATAAAAATAATACTCAATACAGTATGACCAATTTTTTTCTTTTATAAAAAAAAGTTTTTCGATTCCCAAGTTGGGACATTTTAATTTTAACTACTGGCATGAAGATGGCTTGTATTTCATGATGCAGTGAAGTCGGCATACGAAGGATTGAGTCGACTGACATTCAGCGGACTGCTCAACTGCCTCGATGGAGTCGCTTCCACTGAAGGCCGTATCCTCTTCATGACCACCAATTTCCTTGAGAGGTAGCTCACCTTTAATAATGTTGATCTGTTGACAGATGAAGAGATCTGTTCATCTGACCCGTGATATCATCTGTTCTCCACACAGACTAGATCCTGCATTGATCCGACCGGGTCGAGTGGATGTGAAGGAGTACATCGGGCCCTGTTCTCGGTACCAGATGGAAGAGATGTTCCGTCGATTCTATCCTGAAGTGAGTGCTGCATCGGCAGAAGAATTTGCTGCAGCATTGGAATCACTTTCGGCCGAGCGGGGTCCCCTCTCCCCTGCTTCTCTGCAGGGCTACCTCATGTTCTACAAAAACGCACCCAGTGATGCTCATCGAGATATAGAACGTATTTGGACTCTGTAGATGACTTAGAATCTTGAATGAAGTTATTATTCACGTACGCTTGGATGTGCCTCTCTTGAGGGTGGGGAGGGGAGGGGAGAGTTTCTTTCTCAGTTTCCCCCGTGCCTTATAAGGCCCTAACTTGTGCCGAACCATGATTCCCCTCCACCACGATTGAATCAAGACGGTGGCACAGGCGAGACGGGTCGCATAAATGCGCTCCATTTCCTCCCGCTCCTTCTCGCTTCGGTCTTCGTCCACCACTCGCTTCCGCTCTTCGTACTATCGACGGCAATTGCATTTGCATCATCGTTCTCATACATTATTCCACCAACGGGACCGACATCAAAGACAGGAACTCGCATGGGAAGGTATCAAAGAATGCAGGACCTTGCCCTCCTTTGGTGTTTTAGTCTTATGTGGAATCTTTGCTGCTTGAGAGTTAGGGGAAGTACAGGTCCATATAGTGATCTAGCTTTTTTCTTATCGTGTTTATTAACCCTCAACTACTCGCGCCCTGTCTCATGTCATAACTACTCGCATGGTGTACTTTATACACCAGTGTATATAGACAGTATTTATTCAGTAATATGGTATGAAATTACATACAAACCCAGCCAGTTCTGCTCTAGTTACTTTCGTCCGTTGTAGGATGTGCACATGTACCACACAATCAACCTGAGGATAGATGGCGGATGCTGCCTGTACGATCACGTAAACAGATAGGGGACGAAAATAACTGCGAATGGTGTACGAAATACACCAGCGCGAGTAATTAAGGGTTAAGCGTCTGCAGGTGAAAGTAAAAAATCTGATATGGGTCAGGTCCAGCATTCTTTAATCACTACCATTGCAGATTTCTACCACCGACTTAAGTCTTAGTTTATGGTGGAGTGAATTGCACAGATGGAAGACTTGGCATGGAAATTTTAACTTACTATTTCAATGACCTTATGGAGATGCTGCAAGTTTTCCTTCCTCTTCTCCTGCAAGTATTCCAATTCTTTGTCCTTCAGACTTGCATTCCTCTCAGTTTTACCCTTCCAGTCCTCTCTCTGCTTCTCCAAGTCCTCAATTGTGAAAGTTATTCGATTACATTCTTTCATTTCTGTTCATCTCACCTCTTTGGGGGGATCATTTTATTTTTCTTCTCTCTTTTGATGTAGTTAGTTTGCATACCTGGATGACCTGGAGGAGATATTGCTTGACGATGTCATGTGCCCTGGCCTCATTCTTCAGAGTTTGTACTAATTCGTGTCTTGCAGAGATCATCCTCTCCTCCCTCGAGGCCATCCGCTTGAGGTGGAAGCTCCGACCTGCCTCCATTGACTTGTTGTGGTAGCTCTTCTCCACTCCAATTTGCAGTTCCAAGTCCCTCATTGCATCCTGTTTTGCCATTAAATCAATCCTAGTTGCCTCGCATAACTTTGAATCTTCTCTTGATTCAGTCCCAATCAGTGGACTCAATCAGCTCTAAAGTTTGGGGGGGGGGGGGTTCGAATTTCTCATGACCTGTCTTTCAAATGTCTCCGAATGCAAGAAGGCGCTATCAAATCGTCAGAAGAGATTCTTAACAAAAGCGCGAACACGCGAACAACGGAAATGAATTAAAGAAAAATGTTATGAAATGGTGGAAACGGAATTTAAACTCTAAAGCACATTCGATACCTGAAAAAAAAAAACAAGATGAACTAAATTAACTTCGGGATTCAGCCCACTGCACCGATATGCAACTGGAAATTCGTTAACCCGTACGTAATTCACGTCTTTTGTCAGGATCGTCGATCTTTCGTTAAAAAAAAAATTCAGTAGCGTCACATGTGCTAAAATGTGCAGGACGCTTCCTTGACAGGTCCACTTTACTGACCTTTATGTGACCTTCACCTTTCACCTCCTATCTTTGTGCCTTTCTAGCCTCGCTCTCTGGTCGTTTGCTCATGATATCCTTCTGTACCCCCCACCCTCGGGAGAGGAGATGGAGAAGTAGAGAGATACTATCATGAGCAGGGGTTGGGGGGGGTTCAGACCCCCTGAACATTGCGCCATTAGTCCCAATTGGAACTTGTTATATGTTTTTTGCTTTTTCTATTACATGCCAAACGATTCTAGATAAATGAAGATTCCAATTAAAATACACCACATGTCCATTTTCCCTCCAAGTTTCATTTGCCTCAATTTGGTTGCTCTGTGGAGTCCTCCTCGAGCCCAACGAAGATGTAAGGAATAAAGGGGAAGAGTCCCCCAATTTCCACGATGTATTCCACATTCCCCCAAACAGCATGTTTATGTTAATTTTACGTAAAACGAATGTAAATTTTATATCATTTTTACGCAAACCGTTGTCAAGAAAATGTCAACATGTTTGCAGAAATGTCACCTCTATGATACGTAAACGGTGATATAAAATTAACGTAGATTTTACGTAAAATTGACATTCATGTTTGCATCCCAAACAGCATGTTTCCATTTTGCGCAAAATTGATGTTGATTTCCCCCTAACATTCATGCGTATTTAACGAAGCAATCAGTACTTTTGAAGAGAATTAGATATACTGAATCTTCCATTCCTTTTCGTTCTTCAGAACTCTAAGGTGGTTGGACGAGTACACTAGTACTCATCCTCACCAGCACTCAAGAGTACCAAAGTGACCTCCTTTTTCCTTCCTCCCGGACTGGAACCTCGTAGTAGATGTTCAAAGGAGCTCTCTTTTTTCAAGGACAGAGAAGATATAGTTCTTGTAGGGCTGGGATTCTACTCTTCTCTAATCCCGTGCACAGCTGTAATAGAAAGCTTAACTTCAGCATTTAATGATTCCCTGAGTAATATATTATTAAAAAAATATATAATAATTTCATGTTTTCCATATATATATTCGTGGATTGCATAATAAAAAGTAGAAGGATGGTAAGAAAACCTGATACTATATCAGGAAAACAGTCTAGTTGATGTAAAATACACGTACACTTTGGTGACGTAAATATTGGAACGTAAATTTTGCGTAAACATGATGTCATTTTCGTGGCAATCGCAAGAAATTTACATTGTTTGCAAAGAATTGATATCTTGTTTACGTAAACATGCTGCTTGGGCCCTTTCCACGCCCTCGTCCTGCCCTGTCGGCAGTGCGTCCCGAGCCTCCGACCGGTCAACACAGTGAACACGCTGTGCGTCCCAAACCACCAGCCAGATAACAGTAGATACGGAGTGTGTCCCGAACCTCCGGTCGGACCCCACACAGCACAGGGATATCCCTGGGATATCCCTGTGATTGTTCGTTGCGGGATGTGGATGTGTCCCATAATGGACGTCCTATGGACATACTAAGGATTTGGTGTATGGGACGAGAGTATTTGTAACCTTACGGGATGTCCTCTGAATGCTCCAGGGATTTCCATATCCCGGGACGATTTCATTATGACATCCATGGGATGTCATTTTGTCCCACGTAGGATCCAAATGGGATGTCCCAGGGATGATCCCTTGCTACTTGGGTACCTCCTGCCATTTTGATATCCCAAAGATGTCCCCACAAGTAATGTCTGGGACTTGTCCCAAGGGGATATCCCTGGGACATCTCTGGGATGTGCTATTTCTTCAAGAAAGGGACATCCTTGGGATGTTATTGGGCCCAGACATTTTGATATCCCTAAGATATCCCTACTCCTTGTCTCTGGGACATCGCACTTGTCCCAAGGGGATATCTCTGGGATATCTTTGGGATATACCTGTGCTGTGTGGGACAGGACAGTGGACACTCAGTCTGTCCCGAGCCGGCAACCGGCCAACTCAGTGGGCACAGTGTGTGCCTTGAACCGCGAGTCGGACAGAGCAGTGAACTGTAGTGAGGCCGTCCCGAGCCGACGGCCAGAACCGGACCACGGTCGGCGGACAGGATCTTGGACACGACCGTCAACGAATTTGGACGAATTGTGCGTGAGACCCCCCTACGAACGTAAGACTGTTTTTATGTTTCTTCCTCCGTATTTTCCCCGTTGATTGTCCAATAAATCATGCACAGTTGTTAACGTTGATTTAATGACGTACCTTCCTTCTCAGCTTGGAGTGAGCAGATCGAAAGAAAAAGAGTAAGACGCTTCTGCCTTGCTCAATTGCCATTCAAAGAACACGCAACTTTTCTGATTATTAACCACCTTGGATCTGACCCCCATATGTAGCGAGCATTCTCGCCACATATTCTGTGATCCCCTGAGGTTCGCTACAGCTCTTACCTCTGCAGATGATCACCTACAGCAAGATTGACAAGAAACGGTGTGGAAATTACCATTGTTGGATGGCTTCATGAGTGATGGCTATATTCATTCCATGTATTTTCATGAAGATATGTGGCAGTAATAATGCAAAGTATTTTGAAAACATTCTTTGGGAAAGAAGAGTGGCGTATTTTACGGGGGAGGGGCAGCCGCCTTCCCCCCTGACGCCCCCGGGACAGAGTCTGGCGCACCCTTGGAGGTAATTTCTCTCTTGACATCGCTTGGGTGGGGTTCGGCCCCCCCACTCTGTTGTCCTGCTCCCCCTGACCCTTCAGCCAAAATACGCCACTGGATAAAACAGTTAATCATATGACCATCCGGGTTCTAATAGTTGTAGGGTTAAACCGATTGCTGCAATTTTTGACATGGCATTTTCTCAAACAATTCAGACCGAAAGCAGGCTGGACAACTTGGAATTCCCAATTTCATGCAGTGATTCACTAGTTGAGATTTCTTTGACTCGAAAGGCGCGTTGTACTCGCTGAAAACCATGCAAGTAGTAATTTTATGAATAAACCGTTTGTTGTTCTGATTTATATTTGCCCGTTAATTTTATTGATTAATTTTGTCGTGTACCGTGAGCCTGGCTGCCTGGAGCTGGAGTTGCTCTTCTTGCTTCTTGGTTTCCTTCATGAAACTTTCCCTGGCTCTCTGAAGACTTTCCCACTCTCGTTCCATCTCCTCTTGTTTTCTCCTCAGTTCCTTCTCCTCTTCGGCTTTCTCCCTTCTAATGCCTTCTCTCAGCATCTCCACAAATTCATCTGCACGTGCTCTCCGACTTTTCTCCATCTTCAGTATCTCTCTGATCCTGGAAATATTGCGTGATACATAACCCTTGGAATCGAAAGAAAAGTCTGAAACGTCGTTTTTTCATTATTACTGTCCTGATATAATATTCACCAGAAGCTTTTTCTTATTTACACTTTAGGCTAAATAATTCTTTTCATCAACGATAAAAGAAAAACACTTACGCTTCCATTGTCTCGTAGGAGTCTAACTCACTGAATAGGATCTGTTGTTCAGATGGGCACACAAGATGTTGCCATGGCAACCACTTCTTGGCTTGCATCGTCTGTGGAACAAGGTGAGCACTGACTGGAATGCTGTTGGATCTGCATCGTGAAAATTCAATCGTGTTCTTGTCTCGTAACCAATAAGGCAGATAGTATTTATTATTATTATTTATGTTTCTTTCATTGAAACAGGGTTGAAACGAAGATGGAAAAGTAGGCTCGGAATCGAGCAACACTGCTTCTTTCCTTCCGGGTTAATGGTGGCATTCTCGTTGCTTGTTTCTTGTTAGTCTGCGGTCACCACGTGAATTCCCCGGTTAATTCTAAGGGTAAGCTTGAAAGCTTCAGTTCTTATCATTTCTCTGTCATATGGGTTTTGCCAAATTTATTCATGAATTGGTTGAATGAGCTTTAAAATTGTCTGTATGAGTCATGGTGTCCGAGGCGGTGTCGGACTGAAAGGATTCTCACGGTTTTGCCTTGTCACGGTCAACTAGAAGAGTCTCTGGCGAACTGGAACTTGCCTTACATCGCACTACTACTGCACAACCAGAGCCCTATTGGTTCAATGACGCTGTGTGCCTTTGTAACAATTCAACAAAACTCCTTCATTGGACATGTACATGCAATTCTAGACCAAGATGGGCATGACATTGTCTCCAAAAAAAATCTAGGCCTAGTACTAATTGCGTGGCCTTTTTGGAACTATTGGCTCATACAACAATCTCAATAGGGTACCATATAGCCATAAGATGTGTATTGTTGTTTGACATGATGCCTCCTATGTCAAAATGGTCAAAATGTAGGCTTGGACTAGCTATTGATATTAAGGAGCCCACTACAGGCTTTGAACTAAACCTGTCCACACTTTTTATCAGAACCTTCTCTTTCTACTTCAACATGTGAAATGGGGATTTTACCCACAAACGCATCCTGTGAAAGGTGCTCAATCAGGAAATTAGTCAACAAGTCAGGCTCATTTAAAGCTGCTGAAGCTTGTGTAATGTGTGTAACATGCCTACTATGCATTGTCTGTAGGTCTGCAGACGCTTTTGAGTTGTCTTTGGAGGACATAATTGAGGAGCTCTCTGGGAAAGAGGGTGTTAGTGCCTATATGCCCTTTTTCTATATCCATGTTCATGCATTGCTTTAAGACACTTTATGTCATTTTGAGATGGTTTGGATTTTTTATTTTTAGTAAGGGAATAATTTTTCCATGCTGGATAGTGGGCAGGGGACTAGCTGCCTCATTATGATTGCTTGCAGGGAGGATGGGAGGAAAAGGACTTTTCAACACCTATGGAAGGATTCCTGAAGGAAGGAAGCCTGAAATTTCACTTATGGAAGACTGAAACTGTCATGAATGCTTTATTGGATGTTTCTTGTATCTGTCTTTCTTTGAGGAAGGGTTTTTAGTAGTGATAGACAGATATGGGATTTATAGATTTTTTAAATTCTGATATTGGCCAATATTCCAACAAAACAAAACCACATTGAAGATTCAGCAGGACAGCTTTATTTAATTTAAAATTATCCTTGATGAACTCAACGAAGTTAGGCTACAAAACATTGGCCAAACCTAAGCCTTAGAGTGAAGGTCTATCTCTATTTGCCTGTCCAGGAACATAAGCAGAGCAAAAGCCCTGTGATTCCTCACCTCTTGGATGATGCCATATTGGCTATATCACATGTTTCCCATATGGGTTTGGAAAATATAGTCCTAGTCATATTTTCTTTAACGGTAAATATTGAACAAAACTCTGCTTCTGATATTGTAAAAAATCAGAAGGCTTGAAAGCCAATGTGAATATTCGCTGATATGCCCATATTGGTCAATTTGTATCTGCAACTGATATATCGGTTGATATCTAGTTTTGAATAGAGCTGTCAATCGATCAAAAAATATAATTGATTAATCGTATTTTAATCTCTCTTATTTCCTCTTTGAATCATGCCCTAGTTACATGGCATTATATTGCTTTTGTTGTGCCCAACACCTAGGTGAGCCTCAGGAAGGGACTCAAGGTGATGTAGTCACTAATAGTAGTTACTATCCATACATTTCAAACTACAGTGTGGCAACAAGAAATGTTTCACATTTCACTAACCTATATTTTCATTATTAAGTTAGAAAAATAAATTATATAAATGATAGATGAACTCAAGAAGTTCTATTAATGTTGAGAAACTGTTCACCATTGCTTTGGATAATTGCTTTGTAACATACAGCAGTGTTTTCAATAACATTGTCCAGTGTCTTATGTGCTAGGTCTCTGAGCACTGTAACTGCAAAACATTTGAGTCTATCATGATGTGTAGATTTGTAGAGAACACCTTTTCTTTAAGGAGACCCTATAAACTAGCTGTTCAAAATCAGATCTTCCTGGCTTATCAAACTTATCAATGCTATTCTCAATTGTTGAATTTAATGAGGCTGTTTTATCTGGAAAAAAAAGAGCAAAAGGTGTAAATCATGTATAAATTTTTTCATGAAATGCATTCACCTGTTACTGTGAAGAGAGATTTTAGATGATGGTTTCCTGATAAAACACCCCCATCAAATCCTATGATAAGTTATTGATAATATATTGTTGATAATTTTGAAAGAGAAAGCATTAGGAGCATGAGAGGGGATATCTTATGGCCAGCAGGTTCTTAGACTGCTATATTTTGTTATGGGATTTCCTTAAAGAAGTGGTGTTCTCAACAAAATATACATCATTGATAGAATCAAATGTTCTGCAGTTACAGTGCTCAGAGACATAACACACAAGACACTGGACAGTGTTATTGAAAACACTGCTGTATGTTGCAAAGAGGTTATCCCAAGGAATGGTGAACAGTTTGAACATGTTTCTCAACATTAAAATAATTTCTTGAGTTCGTCTCATATGATGTAATTTAATTTTCTACCATAATAGAAAAAGGAAATATAGGACAATGAAATGTAAAACATTTTTTGTTGCCACCCTGTACATGCAACACATTCCTATCAGAGAGAGAATAATTACAACTTAGCCAGATAAATAATGAAGCATATGCAAAGAAGCACACTGAGCCCCTTTGCCATTTAGCCAACCCATATCAGAAGGATGCAACCTAAATGATGTAGGGTAAAAGACCCAGTGATGGGCCTGTTAATGGCAGGTACTCAGTGATGAGCCACTTCACAGGAAAATTCCAAAAACTAGGCATTTGTTCCATGAACACCTCTAAAGTGTCTATGTGCTTGAATACTGCTAGCATATGTCACAACATAGGTAGGCTTGCTATGGAAGCTTAGCTATTGGAATTTTTATGTGTTGTGGCCCATCACTGGAATGTGCTTGAATACTGCTAGCATATGTCACAACATAGGTAGGCTTGCTATGGAAGCTTAGCTATTGGAATTTTTATGTGCTGTGGCCCATCACTGGGGACCGGTCCATCACTGGGTCTTTTACCCTATATAGTGACACTAAATTGTGTAGAGATTTAGAGATTCATTATCGATTCACAAGCAACACAGGATGGAAGAGCAGAAAAAGCAAAGAATAATAGAGGGTTTCATACTTTCGTTTCCTCTTCTCTTGCCTGCCTCCAGCATTCTCCCTTTCCCAATAGCTTCCTGGAGGCCCTCACAGAACTTTGCTGGTGCAACTTACAGATACACCTCTTACTCCCCAGTTTTTAAATTTTCCACTTTCCTGCCTCTCCTGTCTCATATCCCCTATTCCTTCTGCAAATTCCATTGCAGGTTCTTCATTTTGACTCTTTTTTTTCCTCAATTCACATCCAGTGACTTTTCGGTCATTTTGCCATAAGTCTCTGCTACCTAAGACTGTTGCACAAGGCTTTTCTTGCTATGAGCATACTTGCTGATTTAGAAAGAGGACGTGTGAGATAGTTGAACAAGGAGTTTTAAATACTCTTACCTTGGCAATATCAATGACTCACAAGCAGTGGCATATTTTACAGGGGAGGGGTGACCCCCTGGTATCACTCAAGTGGGGTTTGGCTGCTTTGTCCCCCCTGAATCTACTGCCATAGTATGCCCATGGCAACAGATAATTTGCCATCAGCAGCTGAGAATCATCAAAGTCAGATGACAGCGTCTCTTGTTGAACAGTTATATTATGTGTCTCCTAGGCTCAGATTTGCAAGGAGCAAGAAAGGAGAACTGGATTTGAATATTTCTGTGAAGGAGATGAACTTTGCTAAAACAAACTTCATTTTCTGTAGAAATGTGCAAATTCATGGAGAGATGTGAGCAAAATTTTGCTGGCCTTTTTATTCAATGCCAGTAACATCCTTTTATCCTGTTCACAATCTGCAAAGTGGATTCTGCAAGTGCTCTACTTGAGAACAAGTTGACAACTTGTCTAATCAAGGTCTTTGGTCGAATAGGTGGATACATATAACTCAACACTGCTTGCAGCAATATCTTATTTGCTCCAGCCTCTCTATGTGGTTGAGAAAGAATGCAAAAGCTCTGAATGAAATAAACTTGAAAGCTGTTTCTATGATCTACTGTGAACATGGATGTCATAACACATGGCAACAGGCTGAAGCTGCCACATGTATCTAGCATAAAGTTGGTCCCAGTTATTGTTGAACTGTTTGTTTTGTGTTCATGTGAATGACATCAGAAATCCAGTTTGCTCACAATGGGTGTCCTTTGGTACTGTGTGCAAAAGTCCGAGCATATCCACCAACAACCATATAGGACTACTTGTTTGGGCTGTTACTCTTGATTTTGGCTTTAAAAAAATTATGAAATTTACATTGCCATATCCATGTCTTTTGAACAGTTTATTGCATGAGCCATTTCTTGGTGATAAGTTATGCTAGTGAAGGCTATGGGTTTACTCAATTTGTCCTTTATAATGGTTGGTTTTAGACTAATTAAATATTATTGTCATTGCTTCAATCTATTCTGAACATGTGAATCATTTGAGTCTATTGCAAGATCCAATTGTCCTATTGCATCCAATGTGCAGTCCATCTAATGACTTGTTTACTGACTTACTCACCAACTCTTCATTTTTTATGCAGGAATCATGCCTGAAAACATGGAGGTGGACCAAGAGAAGAAGGAGAAGAAGAAGAGGAGGAAAGTTGGAAGGTTTGTGTTTTTATGGCAATTTGCTCATCAGCCATGGATGGATTAAATTTTTAGGAAAATGTCCAGATATGCCCATTACTTGAGAGAAAAATATCTGGTGGGGTGTGAAAGAGGAATATTTGGGGGGGAAAGTGCTTTCTGGTCAGATTCAAAATTTATCCTGTGAAAGGGGTTTAAAAATTGACACATCCCATAGCCTACCAAGTTAACCATGTACCCTTACAGGTTGGATTAGTGGAGTATGTTTTTCTTGGTTCTTGAGAATGGGTTTACCTGTAGTGTTTTGTTTCATCATAGAAAAAGAATAATTATGTATCCATAGCAGTCAATATGAAGGTGTGGCATGCTTGGACTTTCTCTGCTTTCCATTAACTGTTGATGCTGATCCATACCAAGCTCTTGTAGAAATGATCACCATCTTTGCATGTAAACTTCTGTGATGTGGTTTCTTGATGTCAAAATCAGCCAAAATGACATGCATGAGAATGTGACAGGTACATCTGGCCTTCATAAGAAAAATATTCTCATGGGATCTTTTTCCTCAAAGGAGGTGGCAACTTGATTAGGCCTTATGTAATTTAATTGGATGTGTTCCAATATTCTTATGTTCTGATTTATATGTTTAGCTAATCTTGATCCTTGTCATTCTTAATATACTTGGATCACATTTAACACATTCACACCCAGCGACTCCAGAACACTATGGGTTTAAAAACGTAATATTATGGTTCCCTGTGTCAACGGGTTAATGGACAGTTAATGGAAATATATATCAAAGTTCACAGGCTAGAGTGCAGCAATTATATTTCAATAACAAGGGGAATTCTAAATCTCTCTTCCTTTATTAGGAGATCTATGTAACAGTGTATACATTCTATGCTTTATCAGTCATTTTCCCTCCAGGCCAAAGTGATAAAAAAAACACCTAGCATATGTGCACATGTGACTTTTCCCCTTATTTTTCAGACTGTATGCAAGAGCAGTGTTTACAGGTTTCAAAAGAGGCCTTAGAAACCAACGTGAGAACACTGCCCTTCTAAGTGTTGAGGGTGTTCGATCCATGGATGATGCCAAGTGGTATGTGGGGAAGAAGGCTGCCTATGTATACAAGGTGAGAAGGAGTACCCTATTACTTGTTGCAGCAGCTGGTGGGTAGTTTTTCTACAGCAACTCACATATGCAATGGAGCTTCATTTACTTCTATTTCATCAGAGGGAAATAATGTTTCATTGATTGACAATCCCTTATCTTCAAATCCCATGATGAATATACTTGTCATACCCAGTCAACAGGTTAAATTTAATATGCTAACTAATACATGAAACTATTAAAACTTTATGGTGATAGTGCAAGAGGAAGACTGGAGTGCCAGGGAAGCCAGGGATGAAGACACGCCTACGAGCCATCTGGGGGAAAGTGACTCGCATCCATGGCACAAGAGGAGCTGTGAGAGCCAAATTTGGAAAGAACCTCCCTCCCAATGCTATGGGCAGGCGTATCCGCATTGTAAGACTTTCCTCTCTCTTGACACAAAACATGCATCTGTAGAAAGCTGACTGTTGTACAGTGGTATATGGATATTTGCATACAGATCTTTCATTTAAATTTTAATTTATGCATACATGGGCCTATCAAGAAGTTCTGCCGAGACCAGCCTTCATATGAGCAAAGTATATGCAGAAGTTATGTTTCTCTGGCTAGGAAGCATTGAAAAATAAGTTTTTATAAGAATTCAAAACTGGTTAAGTTCCATATCCAGGAAAGGAGTGTGAAATTGTGTACCTTCTTGTCTTAGTATCAGGTTGTACAGAAAGTAATGTTGTTTTTATCACATCAGTTTTCAAATCTAACTTTTTATTCAAAATTTCAACAGTTGCTCCCATTGAATCAAACAATAACAGTCTATCTCTATGTTCAACAACTGGACTACCTGCAACAAGCCCTGCTTCAAAGGCGGCCCACTGGTCATTTGAAAAGGTGTCATCCTCCTGCACGACAATGCTTGACCTCATGTCTCAAAAATTGTCAAAGAAAAAATAATTGAGCTTCAATGGGATGTTTTGCTGCATCCACCTTATTCACTGGACCTTGTGCCTTCTATCACTTGTTTTGGTCACTTCAAAGTCATTTAAATGGGAAACAGTGCAATCTCTCTCATCTGATCTCACCACATTCTTTGCTTCAAAACAGGCTGATTTTTATGAAAAAGAAGTAAACAAGGTGAAAGAAAGATGGGAAACAATCCTTGCAAGTGATGGAAAATACACTGTTGATTAGACTTGAAATTTTGAATAAAAAGTTGTATTTGAAAACTGTGGTAAAAATGACGTTACTTTCGAAACAACCTAATATGTCTCAGTAAAGATCTGCATGGGTAAGCCTTGGCTTTGAAAGATCAGGCAAGCCTCCAGCCCTCTGCATAGCTTTGTGACAGGCACGGTCACTAGCAGGTACATTTTTATTTTGCATTGACTGTCTCCCTAAGTAGGACATCAAAGGGATTGGCTCCCATGCATGCAATGGTTTCAGGCAATCCTGTGCAAGCCCTAATCCAATCTAACGTGGTATGTGAGGGACCTACACTTGCATAACTAATTGCTTCCAGGCAATAAGAGTAAAATTTAAGGAGTTATTGAAGTAAATATTTCTAGTTTTCCATGACTTGGAGCACCTGACCTAGTTTTCTCTGGAGAATTCCAATTTTCTTTGCTTTCCTTGTGTATCAGGTATCCTTTCCAGTTTTCATCATAGCCCTTAGGTTTGCTAAGTATTATCAGCCTGAAGTGTTGTCCAACCCTTTGTTTCTTGATACTGTTTGGATACCAAGAGGAATATCACTTTCTGACTTCAGGGGACAAAAGCTCTTGACTTCTTGCCATTTGCCAGCCATTTTGGATTTTTAAATCTGAAAATTATTAGAAACAGTTCCAAATTAATGTCCCAAGTAGGTACCTTGTCAAACCCATGAAGTTCATAGTATAATATTCTACTTGATCCCATGTAAAACCTGGAATCATATTGAATCATCATCTTGGGTTTTTTTTTTCAGATGCTCTACCCATCAAGAATTTAAAGTATGAATAACCCACACTTCATCCATCAGTTGTGTCCATGGTGTCATTCTCCCCCCTGAGTTTGTCCCTGTTCCTTGGACAGCGAGAATAAAGCTATGTGAGACACCATTTGATGTTTTGTCATTCCCATGAGCGTGAAAAATGAATAAGCAATTAATGAACCCCACTTTCGATGCAAATCGGTGATAATTTTTTGCTCCCAGGAAGAGGTGGTTGACATTAACAGAAGTGTTTTAAAAACTACCTATTTAAGTAATTCATGGTCATTAATACTTGCTTTTGGATGTTTTCTATTTCATTTTTGGCATTCTGTGGCTGAAGAATTTTGCAAAGGCATCTCATTTTCGTCATTTTAGTGATGAATGAAACGGAATGGAGAACTTAACCCTTCTGGATGGACTCTAGATCGTTTGCAGAGTCTGAAGTCGTCGATGGACAAGTTGGTGCTTGAAGGCTGAGATGAAATTGAAACGATTGGGGAAGAAAATTGAAAGCTTTACAAGTAGTATTTTTTTGCTTTAGAATGGATTGCAAGCAGGAATTTGTGTCCTTTCCCCAGGGGTGAGGGGTTGTTTCAGGAAAGTGGTAGTTGCTGCTGTCACAATAGGTTCTGCAGGCCAATGTAGAAACTCAGATGGGAAAATTTTCTCACCACTCTAAAAAAAAAAACACTAGGTTCACATAGGACTTTGTGAAAGAAGAATATCTTCATATGAAGCTCAATCAGGGCAATCGCCATAAGTTTCAACTTTTTATGCAGAGTTGCTGGCAATTATTTTTTCTGGCAGGTGGTGCCTCCTGCAAAATGCTACCTTTAAGGGAAAGCCCATTAGATATTTTTTGGGAAGGGGCAGTTTCCTGCCCCAAATTCACCAGAATAAAAGGATTCAAATTTTATGCAGATTTGCTTCGAAGTGCCACGTGGACAACGAATGTCGGATAAACGGAACTTGTAATCTCAAATTATTCAAAAAGTTGCAAATTATCTCCATATCATCTTCGATTTTGGTCAAATTTGGCAAACAGGGTTCTCTTGCCCCCAAACTGGAAGCATCAAAGTTCGGTCTCATCAGTAGATTATACGTTGCAGGGTGATCAAAATGTTGAGCAACTTGCTAACCAATGATTTTAATAACCCTATAACGAGAAGAGAACAAGAACTACAACGGTTATACGATTTTACAGCCTTGAATAGTGTGTTAATTCGCTGGAAGTCATGAGGGATTCAAAATTGCCATAATGAAGTAACATGAAAATCATTTTTAAAAGCCTTTCCCCTACCTGAACCTCAACCTCAAGCCTACCTTTTTCCGTTCAAAAGAAACTCAACCCCTGACTTTCGTGGCCAGTTAGGCCAATAATGATCATCCAGGCCTGTTTCGAGTTTCATGAACTATTTCAGTGCGGACGTGGAACGTTAGGACTATATGAAGTTACTCGAACCTTCTTGAAAAGGTCTGACGAGAGAAAGCCTCCATGAAGCATGAAGTGCGCGCCATCCTGTTAATTTAGGGATGCTCGTTGAAGATATCTTCGCATCCCATCACATCGATCGGCCACTGCTAACCACCACTTCATTCTCAGCTCAACACATGAATTCAGCACAAAAATGTCCCATACATAAGAAAGGGAATGAAATTCACATCTTCGAAAAGCAAGATTCAGTGTTTTCTCCACAACTCCGAGGAGATGAAGCTTCAAATTTACTGGAGCGATTCTGTGTTGCGAGAGGAAGAAACATGCCTAATTTCGTTCCTGTTGATGCTCTCAGAGAGGAATACGAGGAGGTTGAAGAAAGGTAATAGGAGCTACCAAGCCTATTGATAACATCACTGGAGTAAAAACGCACCATATTAATTAGGGACCGAAAATATTACCTTTGAACTCAGAATGAAACCCCAATTATAATTTCCCCCCCAAAAAAATCCATGAAGAGGTCTGTCTCTTCCATTGATATGCAAAATCAAACTATTTTTTGGATTACGGAAGAAAAGTTTTCAATCATCAGATCCCAACCACTTACACTCAATTGCGAAGAGTAATAGTTGCGTCTTCAGCGCTTGATGACATGAAAATAATCACGAGAAACGTGCCTTCCGTGCAAGCACCTAACGAGGAAAACCTCCCCAGATTTTGCCATGATTCATTCTTACGAGACGGGATTGCGATGTCTATGTCAACTTTTAAGTTAGCAACTTTAACACTTTCGCTGCCATACGACCCGCCGGCGGGTCGTAAGGGCTCTCTCCTCCTAGGCCATACGACCCGCCGGCGGGTTGTACGTTCTCTCTTCTCCTGGGTCATACGAGCCGCTGGCGGGCCGTACAGGTCCTTTCTACCAGATCATACGACCTGGGACGGGTGGTTTGCATTGCTTTGCGTGATACGATCTATTGACCTCTTCCTTTCAGCTTACGAATTTTATCGTCGCCTTCTGATGGGGTCAATTTTAAATCAAATTTGCGGTGTTTCACTTCTCATTTCTCTTTTACAATGTATTCAATATAAGTATATCTCCGTATAAGGGTAAAGTGGAAATTACTTTTTCTTTATACTGCGACGGGTGGTTTGCATTGCTTTGCGTGATACGATCTATTGACCTCTTCCTTTCATCTTACGAATTTTATCGTCGCCTTCTGATGGGGTCAATTTTAAATCAAATTGGCGGTGTTTCACTTCTCATTTCTCTTTTACAATGTATTCAATATAAGTATATATATCCGTATAAGGGTAAAGTGGAAATTACTTTTTCTTCATTTCTGCGCATTGGGCATATTACGGGAGTCTTTATATATAGTACAGTATGTACGTGGACATATCAAAAAGGTCCAGAACTGGTTTTCATATGAGCAAACTATGTGCAGACGCTCTGTTTCAGAATGATCCCTTTTGGAATGCATGGATAACAATAAAATAATGCAACTTGATAGTTTTCTATAGAATCCGTACCTTGTAATTCATTGGTCTGAAAATTTAATGGAACGTTGGCTGCAATATTTTCCTAGAGCTCTTGAAATGATATGAATTTATGGATACCCATTCATGAGTTTCACATTAGCACATTTTTTGAGATGGCAAAGAAAGGGCATGCGACTGCCATTGCGAGGCACGAATCCAAATTGCATGAGGATCCCTGAAAATGCATGCAGATGCATGAATTTTTATGGATGAGTACACATTTTTGACAAAGTTCTATCTTTGAGATATTAATTTTTTCGCGAGGATCATCCCAGAGGAACTGATCCATTAGGCAAAAATTAAATGCAGATTCGTACCTCCCCATTGGCAGTCACATGCCTGTTCACTCAGAAAATTTCACCAATTCGATTAAATTTGTCATGACTCAAGAGTAGATGGGCAAGGGTGCACATACTGTACTTCAACAGTTCTTGAAGAACCTCGTCAACAAGGTATCCTTACTTTATCACGTCAATTTGCTGAAGAATTTATCTGTATAAAAAAATGTTCAAGTTG